TGTGGACTTCAACTCCCAGAGTTCCCCAGCCAGCAAAGCTGGCTGGGGAACTCTGGGAGTTGAAGTCCACAAGTCTTAAAGTTGCCAACGTTGGAGACCACTGATTCTAGTCCGACCCCCTCCTCCGCCCAAGCAGAAGGGCATTTCCCTTCTTGAGGCCACAGGGATGGGTGGGTGAGATGCTGCTGGGTAAGGGATGAATGTGCCAGGAGCCCCCTCCCCAACTGACCCCTCCCACCCTTTCCTTTCCCTCTCTTCTTTTTCCCAGAGAGTTTTGGTCCAAGCCACGAGTTCCGCCCCCAAAGGCGTGCCGATGCCGGAGCTGACACTACCCAGGGCCCAGCAGGTAAAGTCTTGGGATGGGGCACGGAGGGAGAGGGTGGGACTCACCTCGCTACCCACCCACCCCACCCCTTCCTCTGGGACCAGGGGCTCAGCTTCAGGAGCTACCCACAGGGCAGCCTGCAAAGGTTTCTCCTCCAAATTCGTAGGAAAACAATAACTTGGATGCAGGCAAGTCCTCGACTTACAACCACACTTAAAAAAAACAGCCTCACTTCACCGACGTTAACTGAATCGTGCGGCCGTTAAGTGAACCTTCACTTCCCACATCGACTCTGCCTGTCAGAAGGTCTCCAAAAGAGAGCACTGCGACCGTCATAAATGTGAACCAGATGCCAAGCATCCGGAATTTCGATCCCCTGGCCACGGTCGTTAAGTGTGAAACCTAACGGGATAGTTCACACTTCTTTTCCCCCCAATGCGTTTTCGTTTCAAAGGGTCACTCGGCGAATAGTTTCGTATGTCGAGGATTACCCGTGTTGAGGTTTAAACATGCTACCGTTAAAAACGGACGCAAAAGAGGGCGAAAAGGAGCCCAGAGTTGGAGGTCAAAATGGACGTTAAACAGATCAAGGGAGGGGATTATTATAATTAATCGGATTCGATAATCTTATTTCCCAGCCCTTAGTCCCTTTGTCACTTCCCGAAATCAATTTCCAGGTACTTACAAACGCCCCGCTATCAAGGTAGGCCCAGTTTAGATGGCAGTCCTCGAGTTATGACGGTAATGAAGCCTGCACGAAAAGGTCTCAAGTGGTTGCTCACACAACCAGTCTAATTTTATGCCTTGTGTGTGTGTGTGTGTGTGTTGTCAGTCAAGTTTCTATTATTGTTCCTCATGTTTTAAATAAGATTTTGAATCCCAATTAATTATAAGAATACTTTTTTCCTCCGCTTTATTTAAAAAATCAATCCTCCCCTCCCCTCCTGAGCTCTTGTTTCCCCTCTTTTTATATTTTTTCCTAGTTAGCATTAGGTTTGTTCGCTTTTTAATCTTAGTATCTTTAAACTTTAATAGCGGGTAGCCCTTGACTTGCGATCGTTTTGTTTAGCGACCGTTCAAAGTGACAAAACGCTGAAAAAAGGGACTTACCACCAGTTTTTCCACACTTGCGGCCGCTGCAGGTCACGCTTGCCAACCGACTCCTGTTTATGACGGTCGCAGCGTCCAGGC